AGAAGTACAGCTGAAACTAGTTGTTCTGGTGTGTATAGTCTGTCTCTGCAGGCACCTCCAGTGGAGACACTGAACATCAGAGCAGCCTAGGGACACCTCTACAGGCCACTCCTCAGACTGCCACTGGAGGTTCTTCCTGTGCAGCACTGATGTTAAGTGTCTCCACGCTCTGCATGGAGACGCCAAACTCCCCCCATAGAGATGCATTGATATAATATAAGGAGATGCTGATTGGCTTGAGTGGTGCATGGCTCTGTCCACTGGCACACTACCATAAGATTCCAAGACATGAATTTTATTTGAATACCAACACGTATTCTGTAATGATTGCACAAATTACTAAAGGCATTAGAACAATATGTGACCTGAGGCTTTATTCAGATAGGCCAATATCTACTATTGATCATCAAGTATCTCCCACCCCATTAATGGTGTCTAATGTGGAATACAATGGTAAAAAATGGGGTGATAGCACAGTCATTAGAAGATGGTCCCTATGTGTCTCCTGTGCAATATAAAGACACAAAGTAACACATGCTCACCATACTGGATACAATTGCCTAATCAAACACTGTGCTGACAATAGTAAAATAGATAATCTGACCCATAGCCTGTGGAGGATATAGACCTGCCTGAGTGTCCTTGCGCTGTCCAAGCCGACCCCCAGGTTATATCATGGAGGTGCCGGTGCATGTGTTCTTGCCTTGAGCTGGAGATGGACTGTTGTAATAGACCTAGTCTAATCAAAGGGAAAGTAAAGGCTTACTCTAAGCACCATCACCACTTCTGTGGTTTGAAGTGGTTGTGATGCCTGAAGTCTGCATGTGCAGCATTTCTCTCTTTGAAATCCTCCTGCTGCATCTTTAGGGTGTCAATGCCAGCCTGGAACTAGAGTCCTGAGCTGGCTAAAGTCTATTTTGTGCACAGAATGACGGTCATTGGCTGAAAGATGTCAGCCGGGTCAGGGTAATCCTGGCACCGTAACCACTACAGCGGGTGATCGAAAAATAATGATAACACTTTAACTAATCTACTTCCTATATTCTCTGCAAAACTTCAGGCTGGGCAGGAGTTACAATCAACTCTCATCAAACTTGTTATTGACTGTTAGTGCCTCAGGAAGTCCTTTTAATACCCTGAAAAATAATCAAAGCATCTACTAGCTTCTCCCTCTAAAGAGCTAAGCCATTAAATAATTTACCCTATTCTTCCATTAATGTTGGAGTAGATGGTGAGAGAAGGTGGCCATAAGTGCATTTCGATTCATTTATGTATGTACCACGTCTATATACTGCAAGGGGTGAGATAGCTCCACTACTTTTATACGTTTTCACTTATAATATACATTTTGGTTATCCAATGGTTGGTGAGGGAAGGAAGGTCTCAATACGCGAGTGTAGTTGAGCATCTTATTTTTTTTACATGTTTTACACTTGTTTTGAAGCGCTTTATCACACTTCCTCCCGCAAGGAACACTCTTTCTTGCACTATAATTTATGTATATATTTATTTTGCCAGAGAACAGTCAGATAAGATTTGCTTCTCTGTTTCATTCCCAATGCTGATTAACTGTGTTTCTATTCTGCTATATTTTCTGTATAATGCACTAATGGTTTATCCTTTTTCTTTACAGGTAAGTTCCTCTACCATTTTTCAGAACAATGTTGTGATATTCTGATACTCACCCTGCGGTACTGTAAGTAAAACAACTCATTGTGCATGATTTTCCACCAGATCCTTAAATATACTCTGATTGATATTTAATACACACTCCACGGCAATGCCAGATATATTACAAATACAAACATACACCACATCCTCATCGTTCAAGTCACAAGTGGGAACAACTATTCAATATGAACTTATCTTATTATGTACAGCTTCCTCCAAGGATATCCCAGAATATATCCTCGTAACAACCAATATAACCAAAAGCAATACAGAGGATACAGCTGTAGATTTGCAAACAGTAAAACATACAAAAGTGTAATACAGTTTAAATGTAATCTGTGCACTAGGAATCAGTCGGTATATATCGTCTTAGGGTGCCTCCCCTTGGAATACAGGGAGGCTAATCCAGAGCCCTGTTTCTTGAATTCTGGCCTCATCACCAGTATAGAAGATGGGACTCCGAGTATACCTTCAATAATGTACTTTATTGCAATAAAGGAAAAAAATGATATATATATTTTTTCTGTGTGCAATAAAGCACTTTACTGAAGTGTACTTGGAGTGATAAATCATTAGTGGCACCCTAAGGCGATATATACCATCTCATTCCTGTGAGTGCAACTCTGCAAGAGCACACATTAAATGTAAACTGTATCACGTTATTGTATGTTTTACTGTTTGCATATCTTTAGCTATATCCTCCACATTGTTTTTGGTTACATTACAAATACAGCCTGCATAGCTATAGCCTACCTACACTCTTTATAAAAATATATATCTTAAAAAATGATCCAAAATGTTAAAAAATTATAAAACATTCAAAAACAATGTTTTTTTTGTTTTTATTTTATTTCTTTATAATTTTGTGTTAACTTGTTTTACAACTTAACAGCATAATCCTAACGGTATAGACTTTTCTATATTCTTCTGTGTTCCAAGCTTAATGAAGGCTTTTAATTCATATAACTGAAATCATGTTTATCTTGCAGTATGGGTCATGTTAGTTTTGATAATATACTCAATCCATCATCTTATATCTAAAACTTGCCAGAAGACCTCTGCACTGCCAATGTGTCCAGATTTTCCCAAGTTGAGTTGAAGAACGCAACGTTAGTGTTCTGACTCCTGGTAACTTGCTTAATTTCCACGTTTGTTTCTGATTTCTCGCATTTGGGTGGCTGAGAGGTTAAAAGAAGAGTGTCTTATCTTGTGGGTCCTGTGCAACTCCAGAATCCTCCACAGCCACTGTAGTTTACTTTCACTGATATCCCAACATATCCCTTCTTGCACAGTGGAAGCAAACAAATCTAAAACCGAAAGGACATTTCAAACATTTAAGGGTAATTAGCTTTACATTGCAAAGGAATAACAATTAAAGGAGAGAATATTCTTCTCAGTCGTGTCTTATATCTCAATGAAACAATGGCAACTGCTCATTAAGATTCCATTAATATTCTGTCACTATCTGTTTATATCACAATAAGCAGAATTGGGTTGTGTTGATCAATAATACAGGTATTGAGATTAATTATATTTCATATTAATGTAGACTAAAATGGTTGGGCAGCGTTTATAAATGTGACCTAAATGAAGTATATAATGGCTGGTTACCCAGTTTTAAAATTTGTTTGTAGTTTTTTTTTCTTATTCTTGCACCCAGTGGAACAGCCGCTGGTTAATGAAAGACCGACAAGCACAAAAATAAATTTGTTCGGGTTTTCTATTTGGTCATTCAATAATTTATTTTTTTCAGACAAAATTAACTGAAATCAAAATTTTCATTAAAAGGATGCTGGATTGCCCAAATGCAAAAAAAATACAAAATAAAATTGCTATTTAGAAGACATACCTTCAAGGAGGGATTTTACTTTAGTTCGGTCAGGGTGGGGTTGGTGAATTTTGGCCTGGAAGCAATTACAAATGAATTGTTTAATTTATACATGAAAGTCATAGATCTATAGATCTATAGTATGGTGCTACTTATATAGGGCATACAATATACAGGCCTACTTCACTAATATGGTGGGTTCGGTTAGAGAGTTGCTGAGAGAGGAGATAGTGGGGATTCATCATTAGAATATAACTTAAAAGTGCTGTGTTTGTGAAGTGCCACAAAGTGATGTACATATCCCTGTGACCTCCATGGGTATAAAGGGGCATTCTGGGAGATCTGTGAGTGGTAAGAGATGAACTCTGTGTTTCCTTCATTATGTAACGGAGTCTTACCTGATAGGGAGTCCAGCTCGCAGAGTTATACGCTCACCCTTGCAAAGTAGACACAGACCAGGGTGACCAGGTAAGACGCCACCTGGCCTGTGAGTCTGTGCACGGGGGCTTTCCAGGAAAAGTGCTCCAGGACTCAGTACAGCAGGATTAAGCAGAAGCGTGGTCAAGGGAAGCCAAAATCAGGGAAGCCAGAGGTCAGAGTAGTCCAGGAGGAAAGCCAAGGTCAGAAGCCGGAATTAGACAGAAATCACTGGAACGCAGGTACGGAGTAACAGGAACCAAACAAGAGAACCAGAGTAAATGAACTGACCCTGCCCTCAGGGAGAGGCAGGCTTTTATATCCTGTTAATTAGGATCAGATTCAGCTGGAGAGTAACTGACAGATCAGAGCCTTAAGTGAAGTCCAGCCCCCTGGTGCTGCAGGCAATACAAAAATAAACAGGGAGTTATCCAAAGTCCTGAAATGGCTCAGAGGAAGAACAGCAGGATATGGTCCAGAAGAACCACAGTTCAAATCCCCCATCGGGCGCTTCCAGAGCGACCACGTCTGGCAGACTGGATGTCACGGCGTGGACCGTGACAGTACCCCCCCGTCAAGAACGCCCTCCGGGCGTGAACAGGCTCTACCTGGAAACGGTACTCTTCATCTTCGGTATCTGTATCACTAAGATAGTCTTTGTAATCAAAGTCTACAGACTGGGACTTTATGGTACCAGTTTCGAGTGCTATAGGGGAGGCATTTGCAGCTTTCAAAGCTTTTTCGAATATTTCTAGATCTTGTTTACACACAACTGTGCCATTTGAGGCATAGGTGCAGTCAGGAGGCAGAACTGTCTTGGCAAGGCAGGAAGTGGTGATGGTGCTTGCTTGTACAGAAGTGTTATCAGGAAGAGGTCCAAATTTTTCTAGAGCAAGAGGTGAAGTTTCCACAGAGGTACTGGTAACATTAACGGTATTGGTTTGGGTACCCTTTTGTGTCACAGGACGGGGACAGTTCTGGCAGTGTCCAGGCTGTCTTGCTGGGATGACAGGGTAAGTCCATATGGCACCAGACAGAAGGGGTCTTGGCCTAGGTGGACGAGTCGGGCAGAGCGATATGAAATGCCCTCTTTTCCCACAGTATAGACATAGACCATGGGCTCTCCTGCGGTCTTTTTCCTTAGGGGACAATCTAGTCCTGGTGAAGCCAATCTCCATGGGTTCCTCCATGTCGACTGGAGTTTCACTGCTAGCTCGAGTGTAAACAGGGTTACAAGGCGGGTCCTTGAAAGTGGGTTCATGCTGCAACATGATGGGATTTTTGTATCCATAAAACAATTCCTCTTCTCTAGGCAACCGGGTTCTGCGAGGACCTGAAATGGGTTTGGAAGTTGCTTTTCTTGCTGCAAAACACTGAGAATCCATTGCGGACATAAACAACTCCCAGGAGTCCAAGACAGTACTTCTCTCCTGCAACTTCTGGTGTGCCCACGCCTTAATCCGCCCGGTGCATAGGTTAATAGCGGAGCGTACTTTGATAAAGTCGGTGGCGTAGGTTCTCGATTTCAGGGCAAATAGTAGCTCACAATCCGTCTTGAACATCGGAAAGGTAGAACGGGAACCGTCGAACCTGTCAGGCATAAAGACATACGGTTCTGGGTATACATGTTCCGGGACTGGAAGCGTTGCTCCTTTAAATGCCAATGAATGTCTCTGTAAATCTGTAACATTCTGGGACAGGTTGGAGATTTGCTCGGCCAGGGAGGTGAGTAACTTGTATAACTCTGTAGACTCCATGGTCAGTTCATCTGTAACGGAGTCTTACCTGATAGGGAGTCCAGCTCGCAGAGTTATACGCTCACCCTTGCAAAGTAGACACAGACCAGGGTGACCAGGTAAGACGCCACCTGGCCTGTGAGTCTGTGCACGGGGGCTTTCCAGGAAAAGTGCTCCAGGACTCAGTACAGCAGGATTAAGCAGAAGCGTGGTCAAGGGAAGCCAAAATCAGGGAAGCCAGAGGTCAGAGTAGTCCAGGAGGAAAGCCAAGGTCAGAAGCCGGAATTAGACAGAAATCACTGGAACGCAGGTACGGAGTAACAGGAACCAAACAAGAGAACCAGAGTAAATGAACTGACCCTGCCCTCAGGGAGAGGCAGGCTTTTATATCCTGTTAATTAGGATCAGATTCAGCTGGAGAGTAACTGACAGATCAGAGCCTTAAGTGAAGTCCAGCCCCCTGGTGCTGCAGGCAATACAAAAATAAACAGGGAGTTATCCAAAGTCCTGAAATGGCTCAGAGGAAGAACAGCAGGATATGGTCCAGAAGAACCACAGTTCAAATCCCCCATCGGGCGCTTCCAGAGCGACCACGTCTGGCAGACTGGATGTCACGGCGTGGACCGTGACACATTACTATCCATCACAAGAGGAGTGTGTTATGAATATAACGATGGCAAACACAAGCAGGCCCATCGTACATATTCACTGTAGTCTTGTAGACTGGTCAGCCTTAGATAACACTGTACGCCATACATTAATACAGTACGCTAGTCCAGAACAGGAAGCTTGGAGAGCACAGGCCACTAGCCCAGGTAGAAAATCCAGTGATGGACTAGCAAGGGCCCTGCATGATTCCTGCCCACTGCCTCACTCCAGTAGGCATTCCTGCACACCTCCTGCCATTTTAATTTTCAAAAGAAAGGTTTAAAGCTACCGCTCACAACCCCTTTGCCAGAACTCCTATGTTTGCAGCCCAGGAGACAATTATCCCTCCGTTCATAAAGCTATCTGCCAAAACTAGACCTTTACATCATGTTGTACCAAGGCTGAATAGCATGAAAAACTTATTAAGAACTCCTGAAATTATAAAATAGTTTAAACATCTTTAAAATGGACACTCCAAACACCAAACCACTTCATCATAATATAGTGATTCTGGAGCATGGACCCTGTCCCTTCTTTCTGTTATTGTTGTAAACCACTGATACAGCAATGTTCGCTGAAAACATGCCTCTAGTAGAATTTATTGATGTTCTTTTTAAAAGTCTTCTACAATTAGGATGTTGTAGGTGATTTCACAACTAGACAAAAGCTATTAAAATGCTAAAATTCTATTTTAATTTAGGTGCCACATTTATACCCATTTTTCATAATTGTGAAATAAGTAATTGACGTTAATGCACACATATTCAATAACTGATGCACATGCCATACATTTATATGAGGTTCATTGTTGAATTTCTCCCGGTCAATAACCAGCCTCTGCCAGTCAGGTCATAACGCATACTCAATATTTGGCCAAGCTTTGGGAGGACAGGAATATTCATCTAGGATACAGAGAGCTGCTTGAGCATCTTCCTTAGTCAAGAGTTTCAAAGAGGCTTTTATAGAACTTGAAAAATGTTCCCAGAGGAGGGAGGGGATTAACCGAGTGGACATTAAATTCCCTTTGAGTATTCCATTCCCTCAAACAGCCATAGCTTGTCATTTTGTCTGTGAAGAGCTTCTGCCACTGAAATAAATTTGTATCCAGCTCAGACTGTGAGTCTTTTCCTCAGAAAATCTCGGGAAATATTGTGATTTTTTTATAGGAGTAGTTACAACAATGAACCCACAAGTAGTATTTATTATTACGTATTGATTGTCTCTGTCTTCTCTCTTCGCCCCACTTTCTCATTATCTATAACATCCACAACTTTTCTAGGTTGTTATTTAATTCTATATAATTGTATCTTTCAAAATAACATACTAAATAGGAATAACATGTGCTCACAATTGGTACAAAATATTATGTGTATTGAAAATAGTTTGGGATTAATACAGGCTATACAGGGCCTTCCAGCATAGCTCCAATCACAAATGTTTATATGTATTTGAACTGTTATCTCCTAAAGTCTACTCTTGTAATGAAATTGTGGGTCTTTTAATGGTCTCCCAACTACTGACGGGCATTGCAGGTTCTGTTTTTAGATATGTTTTAGATTGTTAATTCCTTTTCTGAGCATTCAAAGCCCCGGTGTAATAAGAGGCAGGTTTATCAATATAAATTCAAAACATGGAGTTCATATAAGATAAATGTGAATGATATGTTATGAGAGCTGGGAAACCTTGTATTAAGGTCGATGAAGACACCCACTTCTACTCAGTCCTTTTACTTGACTTGGAACAAGAATACCATAGTTAATAGAGAACCTACAAAACCTAGACTATTGACTTAATCTTGTTCTCTAGATGAGGAAAGGTCTAGCCTTTTACTGCCAATCTGTTTCTTGACCTTGACAAGGGTTTAGCACAGCACTAACCACTAAGCTAAGCAGTGAATCCAATCTGACATTGTTTTTGAAAGACTTATTTTGAGTTTGTGGAGCTACCAAGGTAGGCTTAAACCAGGTAGCTGATGGCACAAAAGCTTGGGTCCCCAATGGACGTTATTAGATGCAGGGTTTAAAGCATTACTTGTGAATTACATCTTGGAGTAGTTGCATATGAAATGTAAGTTTACCTCCCGAAGGACCAAACAGATCATGATGATTGATTACACAGTATAATAGAACTGGTAACTGGTCAGTTTTATGTCATAAAACCTTTGTTGCAATTTACATCCAAATGAAGTATGTTAGAATAGTTAATGCCACTAATGACATAAAAATGCCAATAAATGGCTAAGGTCCATGTTGGTATGTGTTAATAACTTCTGTGTATTACTCTCGTAACCCCTTTAAGTTTCAAGCTGACTCTTCAATCCACAAACATTGAAAGGGTTAAATACCAGTAAGGTGTTTGAGATATGCATTAACATAAGTTCAACAAGCATTTTTTTTGTCAAGATACCGGAAAAAAATCGATTTCCACTATGCAAGTTATTAAACACAAAAAAATGGAAAGATGCAACACTCCTTCACGGGAGCACAGAGTTCCTTATTTTTGAACCAGTGGATATGAACAGATCGTACCAGGGCAGTCCACACTCCTATTTTATCATTCTCCCGATCCTTGTTGTTTTTTTTCCTAATTACATTTTACCACCTGCTTCGTGTACATATAAAATACAAAATGAATGTCTTCATAATACTAATGAAAGAAAACTACTTGTTAAAAAAAAATAAACGCCTGTGTGCAGAAATGCTGAATCATGCAAGTCTGCATACCAGAGATGAAGAGGCTGCCACTCCACAGAAAAGCTGAGTGGGCACAGCTGAGAGAGAAAGATACTACGAATGAAGCGGACATAGATTTGCATATCTGAGCCTCTTCTGAACATCCTCAAATTCCTGACTGGGCATTTAGATCAAGTGCTAATAAGCCTTGGCACCTGGCTTCTTGGAGCATTTATATAATCGGGACACAATTGGCACGCACTATTGATAGCTGGCATTTAAAACTTGTAATTGGGTCACTTTGCATAGAGGAGGAGAGATGGTATTGTGAGAGCATGGATTGCTTTAATAATCCTTATTTTAAACCATTTAAAGCCACATTCCTCTACCGAAGCTTTTCACGAGTTAGAGAAGTGTTAAGAACACTGAAATGTTGACTTAGAATTTTGAAAAGTGCCCCTCAACTGATTGGAATAAACTGGAACCCTCATCGAATTAAGTTCTATTCTATGTCTGTTTCCATCTGTTTCATGGAAGATTATGTGTCTTTAACGCCTTTCCGACCTGGGACGTACTAGGTATGTCTGACAAAAATGGTCCTTGAGGACCTCGGACGTACCTAGTACTTCCATGGTATTCCTATTCACTTACCCGATCACCGCCGTTCCCCCACCGGCGATCAGTGTTCCTCTCCATCTGAATTGTTGGGTATCCCTGGCAATTCGTGATTGAATAATAACACTGAGTTTGAACATTTGACTAGTCCTATATTACAATAAAAGGTACTTTGTGCCAGATTGCTGTGGATTATTCAAGAGTTAAAACCTTACTAGTTAATTAGTTAATTACTAATAGAACAGAGCTTGTCTATATCCAGATGGGCCTGAACTTACAGTAAAGTCCATAAGTCTGCCTTCTAGTGTGGAGAGTAGTTAATAGTACTCCAGGAGAAACAGTTTTTGTCCTTATGTTGAGACCTGCATAGCTCTACCTTCTTCAAGTCTGTTCGTCCCCTGAGGAAGCAAATTCCACCAATTGGGGTGAAGCTGAGTCAAGTTTGTGTCTGGGACCACCCTTAATCATCTCATTGGAGTAGAAACCTGTAAAATGCAAGCTGTGAATATTTCACATTTTCCTTGTTCCTACTAACAAACGTTAAAAATGCATTTTTCAAGCATTCAACGTCTTAACCAGGATTCTAATCTTGGCAGAGCACATAACCTTTTGTCTAATTATAGGATATTTTGTCCTGCAGTCACTGAGCGCAAATAATGTTAGCTGGTTTTTCAGACAGAAAGAAACAAAGAGTTTAAAAACTCTGTATCCAATATAATGCATTATTATTATTTTTACTGAAATAGCACCGTGGAGTATAATTAAATTATATCCTTCATCATACACAGCGTATATTTTGTATAAGCGTGAAAGCAAACAGATAAACAAAAAAATCCCTTTGGCAAGAAAACAAAAGGTTTCAGAAATAACCCAAGGATTTATATATCTAATTAAATGAATAAAGCAAATCTTCCGGGTTATGAGGTTACTAAAATGCATCCACCTGGGATTCTGATTTTGTACTGATGATGGCAGAATAAAGAAATACATGGTGGTTTAATAATTCAACTCTTGCCTTAAGCCTAAAAATTATATTTTTCCTCGAAACTTTTCAAAACAGGAAAAAGTTCTTTCTCCAAACAAATTGAAACCTGGTGTTCGCTGCATTCTGGCAGATGTTGGTGCAAAGATTGACTATATTCTTCATTTGCTAACTGTAATTGGGTTATTCTCTCCAGTGAGAATGCAAGGTGTATTTCACCTTAGTAAACAATCCTGTAAGAATACAGTGAAGAAATAAACAAAAGGTTTGCAGCAGCTGTCAATAAGATTACATCAAAATGTCCAAATAGAGTTCCAAAAATATAGATATTCGAAATGCTGATTATGCATCCTGCAAAAATACCCTGAGATGCATCTATAGAGTTATTCACTATAGTAGGGCTCCTCAACCCTCTCCTCAAGGCCCTCCTACAGTCCAGGAATTAGGGATTACCCAGGTTTCTCTAAGGTGTTTAAAAAAAACTAAAAACACATTAGACTGTTTTTCTAAACAGCTTAGACACACCCGAGTAATCCCTAAATCCTGGACTGTTAGGAGGGCCTTGAGGAGAGGGTTGAGGAGCACTGCACTATCTTTGCAAAATGTCTTTTTGCAAAATGACAAATGTGGACATATTATTCACACATAAAGCAATTTTGCAAGCTAAAGTGATTTAGGGGTCTGGAGTGTCTCCATAAGAAGCCCACTTTTCAACCTCTCACTCGCTTTGCTTTTTAAAAATCAGTGACCCTACAACAAGGTAAATAAGTAGGGAATGGGAATAGGATATATGTGTCTGAGAGTATTCACATAACAAAGAGCAAAATAAATAATGGTGCAGGCACTCCAGGATAACAAAAATAGCAGCGTTATTGGGGCAAAAGCAGCAACATTTTGACCCTACTTGAATAAAGACCCAGTAGGCCCAGAACGTTGCTGCTTTTGCCCCAATAAAGCTGCTATTTCTGTTATCCTGGAGTACCTGCACCATTATTTATTCTGCATATCTTGGAAGGGGAGCCTGGCCAGCCCTGGCTTCAGAGCACTCAGGTTATTTGATGAGTGTAGTATCCAGTAAGTCTCTACTATTGATAGCACAGAGCAAGTCCATTAGCCTTACACACAGGTGTCCCCTCCCAGCACAGAGCCAGCATGTAGTATTGTCTATATGTACAGTGTTTGTGCTCTGCAGATACTGACGCAAATAAATTCAAATAGGACAAAATTGATATTGCCAGTCCAAAATAGAGAATGAATTTCAACATATTTCCAGAATTAAAAAGTAAAAGCTGTGTGATGGTAATTTCTGGGGTGAAGGTTGTATAAAGTTACCATAAAATAACTGAACAGTTTCCTTGTAAAATGCATCAAAATCTTTCCATTTAAATTATTTTTGGAAATCTACCTAAAAGGAAATGTATAAAAATGTTGGCTTATGATGTATTTTAAAGAAACTGTTATTTTGTTTTTATCATATTTACGATTCTAAGATGCTATGTTACACTGTACGGAATGATGTATTGCGAACTTACTAAACAGGGATATTTGATCAATTTAATTAAAGCGTAATCTCTAATGGACGGTACATTAAGTGGCTGCTTCATGCTGATTAATCGACGCAAGGAGGTAAAGTTAAAGGTCTCTTCCCCAGAGAGAATGTGAGAGGTTGATGGTGGCTACTGCTAATGCAGTCCGTGTCCTAAAATCTGGCATTTATAGTACAGCTGAGTTGAAAATAACAGTCACGTCAGAAAGAGTTTTTTTTTCCGTTTTCTGTGTAAGAACTTGCTACATGCCTTTTCGTAGCTAACATAGTACTTGGCAACCCTGTTATTGTCATTAAATAACTATATCACATAATCCTTCAAGAGGAGGGTTGGAAACTACAGCCTCTAATCAGATCCCTTTGTCAGTGACTGTATTCAATGTGATGTGTGCTCATCATTTTATTGAAACTTTTATAAATTTTATTAGGCTAAAGTGAATTACTTTCTCTCTCAATTTCTCATTTATTTTGATACTTTTGTTTATTTATTTATTTATTTTTCTGTGACCCTGACCAAAGTAAATATTTATTTTGATTTCCTAAATATATTCTTAAAAGTAAAATTCCAGAAATGTGATCTTTTTCATTTCTAACTTTTAGCATTCATTGTATAATGCATGTGAATGTCTCTCTATATGTATGTATGTCAGTATGTACGTATGTATGTATGCATGTTAGTACAGAGTTTAAGTAGTTGAGAGTGACTGTGCATTTTTGTGTGATGAGGAAATTGTGCCAATTTTATATATCAAAGCTGCGAACGGTGGAGCTGTGTCTTAAATGGACACTGCAGACACCTATCGTACTTTAGCTTGCGGACATGCTTTATGTGTGAAGAATGTGTCCTTTTTTTTTTCCATTTCATAACAAGTGCAAATTTCAATAGAAAGTAACTGTAAAGGCTCCCGGCAGGCACTTTCATGTGACCACACCCGATTGGCGTGGTCAAACTGTAAATAATGAAAAAGACTTACTTGTTTCGCAGCAGATCGCCACCAGATGTGCCTTTTGTCAATGCCCTGTCATGGTTTCTACTTGTTGGTAATCTTAAACGGCATTCATACTATAATTCTTGTGCTATTTTTGACTTTGGCTTCTTCTTGACTGTGACGGAATTCCTGTACTATTACCGAGTACCTCCACCAGGTTTGCTTCCTCGCTGCCACAGGGGATCATGGAACGCATCAGCCACAGTCGCTAAAACTTGACTGGGGTCTCTCCTGAACTCTAAAACCTGACCAGGCTACAGCTCTCTTCCTCCAGGCAGGTACCGTCCCTCTGCCTTTCCCTCTTCAGCTTCTTTTCCAGGAAAGTATTCACACCTTTACCTGTAATGTGCTTAACTCCTGCCTTAACGAAGGCACTTGCGGCTCTCAGGCCTAGCTCTCTTTTTGACTTGTCACGGGCTTCAGGTCCAAAGACTCTGTTACTGGGATCCCAGAACAAATCCAAAACATTATATTGTTTATTTTGGACAAGGACTAGCCTTTGGGCATGTGAGACAAACATTAAAAATACAAATATATAGAACAGTGGAGAATGAGGAATTAAAATTAATACATAAACTATATATAATGCAAGGAGAGAAAAATAAAAGCAAGAGAGGTGAGAACGGACAACAGCCCAATTAGCCTGCCCTTCGGTGGGTCCCCTCTCAGATCTCAAGATGGTTTTAGCTCAACTTGTGCCATTACAGAGAGAACATATCTGAAGCAAATCAGACTGGTCCCACCCGTACGGTTAGTCCAGATCCGATATGCCCTCTACACAAGAGATATGGCAACCCCAGACGATCGTTTCAACCTTGTAAGGCATCATCAGTGAGGTATAGCCAATATCCCTCTATATATAATGCAAGTAACATTTTCAAACACACTTTTAAAAGGCAATAATATAACATTTAAATATTCATTTTGTTGCCCTCATTTGCATACCAGCATTATGCAAATTTACACAATTCTAGTCAGTCAGCAGAGGGTGCTGCAGAGTTATCAAAGTAACAATGTATAGTTTGTACATTAATTGCTGCTATCACACACCTTTTTTCAGAGGCTCTTGGGACCATACCTATAGTCTGTGGGCAAGTGGCGGGCCTTCAAGACTCTCCAAAAGGCCCTAGCAGGGGAGCTTCTGTTACATTTACTATCCCTATTTCTGGTATCCTTGACTTATTGGCTTGTCTTCTCATTCTTGTATCTTTCAGTGTCCCTGAGCTTGGCTCGTTCTTGATCATTCTATTTTACTTTAAGTCTGGCCACTCTAACGCCTGGTAATAAGTTTATTTAGTTTTGAGTTCATACTTTGTTTTATTTAATTCTGCATCTTGGGTCATACATTATTCTAACATTAACCTGGTCACACCCCTCTGCCTGTCATTCAAACAACTGGTCCTGTTACTTCCTGGTTTGTTTAGCTCAGAAGAGATAAACTGCCTTGCGAAGACACAATAGCACCAGCCTTGCGAAGACTTCTCTGAGCTGCAAACTGTATTTAGATATACCTCCAATTAAAAAATGCATTATTAAATGCCTTATTATTTACATTTGTCCAGAAGCATTTATAAATTCTTTGGGGTGATTTTTTTTAAATGATTCTTTTTAAGATAAACGAGAAACAACACATACATTGATACTTAGAAAAGGTTAACTATTCATAATTCTGTTGTAAAGTCTTAATATTGATAATAACAGGGACAAACTATTGGTTTTAATGATTGCTCTATTTTTTTCTTGACATCAGAATTTTTCTTTATAAAAAATTCCTTTTTACAAAGAATTGTTGTTGTGTGTGTGTGTGTGGGGGGTGGGGGGTGGGGGGGAGGAGGGTTGTATCATTAATGGTTTATGCAAGCTTAGATTAAGGTAGCATCCTGAAATACCATATTTAGGTAACATTATTATCTGGAAAGACCATATTTATATTATTTATTCATTGGAAGACGTATAAATAAAGGTGGGGGGCAGTTACTTTGAGAGTTTATCCACAAAATGAGTTGAGGTTTATTGATGACTGACCTGCACAATCTTGGCCAAAATAGTATATTTTGTATGTTTTGTATTTTTTTTACATTTCATATATTTTGGTATAAATCTTGCAGTTTGTATTTTGAACTCGTTACAACTCACTGTTAACAAATAATCTCCCAAGAAGTCAAATAACGGCAACATACAAGTTAAAATGCTTCTGAGTACCCCTCCTGGCAAAATAAGAAAATAATATATAGACTGTTACTAGTTAGAAATCCAAGACATTTTATTAATTGATCAGACCAACACTAGGGCTACAAAACATTAATAAAAGCAAAGTAATGATATCATCCCTGCAGCTATGAATTACTACCAAACAGCACAACTTGCATTGAGGTCCTTGTGTAACAAATTCCAACCAGTGAACCCTATTCATCACTCTAACGAGCAATAAAATCCAATCCTTAATTGATGAAAACATGTTTAATCAAAAGTATGAGACATTTTGTGCCCTTGAGTCAAAGCAGTAGCTTTTCATCTTTAGTCAATGTTTACATTACCAGTGAACTGCCAATATTTACTTGTTTTTGCCGGAGTGTGCAAAAAAAATGAAGCAGACTCAGGCAAGTCTCTAGAATTTGGTTTCACTAGCCCGTCACTTAGCACTCTGTGTATCTGTGGAGAGAACAATGAATTTATCACTCTACAATTATTAATGCCAAACTGACACGTTTGATAGATTTTTTAATAAAGCACATAAAATTGCCATTGATTGTATTGTTTTGTGTTCATATATACAGTTAGATCAGGAAATATTTGGACACTAGCACAAATTTCATGATTTTGTCTCTGTTCGCCACCACAATGAATTTGAAATGCAACAACCGAGATGCAATTGAAGTGCTGACTTTCAGCTTGAATTCAAGGGGTTAATAAAAATATTGGATGAAAAGTTCAGGAATTGCAACCATTTTCCAACACAGTTTCAGGGGCTCAAATGTTATTAGACAAATGAACACAATCATATTTAAAATGTTCATTTTTAATAATGTGTTGAGAATCCTTTGCAGGCAATGACTGCTTGAAGTCTGTAACGCATGGATACCAAACACTGGGTTTCATCCTTTCTGATGCTTTGCAAGGCCTTTATTGCAGCTGTCTTAAGTTGTTGTAAGTTTGTGGGTCTTTCTTTAAGTTTTCCTTAAGTTTTGTCTTCAGCAAATGAAATGCAGGCTTGATCGGGTTGAGATCGAGTGATTGACTCCGCCATTGCAGAATATTCCACTTATTTGCCTTAAAAAAACTCATGGGTTGCTTTTGCAGTATGTTTTGTATCATTGACCATCTGTGAAGTAAAGCGCCGTACAATCATCTTTGCATAATTTGGCTGAATCTAAGCAGACAGTATATCCCTATACACTTCAGAATTCATCTGGCTGCTCCTGA